ATAATGTTAATAGTATTGCTTTTGTTGGTGCTATGCCAAGTAAGACTCATGCATGATTCTGTAGAGCATTATCACAATAGAGAGAGACTATTATCACAAGGCTAGCAGTCAGTGGGTCACTGCATGTAGTCCGAGGGGTCCGAAACGGCCTCCAAAAGTGTACCAGATTTAAAATCCACTCAAATTTTGACTGGATTTTTTTGGATTCTTGTTGGATTTTTTGGATTTTTTTCTTGGATTTTTTGATCATATAACATTAATAAATAGTATCCACCATGTTATTAAAGTTAACTAACCATTAGTTATCTTAATTAACTATTGATAATGGTTAGTTAACTATTAATAATAGTCAATTAACTATTAAAAATTACCACTAGTTTAATAATAGCAGTTATTTAACTATTTTTAATGGTTAATAAATCATAGACAGTAAATCTTTGAATATTGTGACTGGATTTCCTTGGATTTTTTTGGATTACTGATTGGATTTTTGGATTATTGCAAGGATTTTCTGGATTACTGGTGGATTTCTGTGGATTATTGGATTTTTATTGGATTATTGGATTCTTTTACTGGATTTTTTTGATTTTTTGGAAAGTGTACCAGATTTTTCTCCGTTGCGGACCCCTCGATGTAGTCAAGTTGTATTCAAACTTTTATAGTCATTGAACAGGACAAAGGACCACGAGAAATATTTTATCTCTGCTTTCTTAAATTCCTTGCTGCTGGAGAAGTGTCTGGACAACAGATCAGTCTTTTCTTGCTGCAAGTAAGCTCAAGACTTGCTCCCGTTTTATAGCCTTCACAAACGCCATTTTTGTTTCATTGCAACCACACCCAAATCAATGAAAAATTGAAAATTAAGCTACCGCATTAGACCATTGACGTTTAAATAGATAGTAGCACACACACACACACACACACACACACACACACACACACACACACACACACACACATGGGCGTGAGCAGAATAGGCGTGACTGGAGACGCACGTAAATATACATACACACATACATACAGAAGACTTCTCGCCTGAGTGGGGCTCACTCAGGCTCGCCCCAATAAGTTTCCATGTCTCTTACTCCTTTATTATTAGTGTGACTGATATTAGCTTTTTCCAGTAGTAGTTTCACTATTTCTGTATGACCTTCATGACAGGCGATACCAAGTGGTGCATCCTACAAAATAATAATTATAAAAACAATTAATAATTATGTCTCTTAGCTACTTTGTCATCATCAGCTATATTAACATCAGCATTATACTTCAGTAGTAGTTCAACTATGTCTGCATGTCCTGCTATACAAGTCATAACAAGTGATGTACGCTAACATGATGATAATAATAATAATAATAATAAATGTCTCTTACTCCTTGGCTATTATGGTGATTGATATCAACTTTATCATGCTTCAGTAGTAGTTCAAAAAATGATGATAACCAATAATAATGATAATAATAAATGTCTCTTACTCCTTGGCTATTACGGTGATTGATATCAACTTTATCATGCTTCAGTAGTAGTTCAACTATTTCTTTAGATCTTCTGATACAAGCCATAGCAAGTGGTGTATTCTACATAACAATAATAATAATAATGATGATGATGATGATGATGATAATAATAATAATAATAGGTTGCTAAGCTTCAGGCTCATCGGTTGGGCAACAGCCAGCTCGTTCCATCTCCCACTTCTTTCAGAGGTTATCTGTCTCCTTGTGGAGGAGAAAATGCCACTTCCTGGGTCACTTGAGTCCCTGTTCTTTCTTCCGAGGTTGATAGAGTTGTTTAAATTGTTTTTGGTTTTTTGGCTTTGTTTTTGTTTTTGTTTTGTTTTTTTTTTGTTTTTGGTTTTTATAATAATAATAATAACAATAACAGTTTTGTTTATTTGCATTCAATTTTTTTTTGGTCTTAGGTCTTTGGTTTTTGTTTGTGTTTGGTTTTGCTCTTATTTCTGTTAGTAGTTAATAATAATAATAATAATAATAATAATAATAATAATAATAACAATAACGAGACACCTGCAGTGTGTCGCCTTGCCCCAATACCTGTTTAATTATCAAAATTAAAAGAAACTTTGGTATGCTCCTTGTCTATACGCAAGTTACATGTAATCTTTTTGTTCTTAAGTGCTACCGACTTTTGCTGTTTTGGAAAAGAACAATATTAAGAGTTTATTATATGAAAAAAAAATTTAGCACTTTATTGGCAAAAGAAATACTTTAAAGAGCTTGATTAAAAAGTAGCATCAACCAAAAGTCACAAAATTTTTGCTAATGCACATACACACACACACAATGCCATCGACATAAAAATCACAGTACCCTCACCTATACGCCTACAGCGTGGGCAAGGGCAATAAATGAATGAATGAAAGACAGGCAAACAAAACAATAGTAGTACTTAGTCCTTCACTATGCAAAGCGTAGGTGAGGAAAAAAAATAACAATAACAATAATACAATAGAAGAAAGTATTTTCCCTTTCTTAAAGAAGAAAGGGAAATACAGAAAATAAAGAAAAAGAACAAAATGAAACAAACAAACAATAATGATTAATAATTTTTATTTCTCTTACTCCTTTTTCATCAGTGACATTGACATCAATTCCATCCTGCTCCAGTAGTAATTTAACTGCTTCTTTACATCCTCCAATACAAGCCATAGCAAGTGGTGTACACTACATAGTAATAATAATAATAATAATAATAATAATAATAATAATAATAATAATAATGGAGCTGGGATAACTCTTAACTATATGTACTAATTTTAAATATTTGAAATATTTCTATATATCTTTTTCTGACTTTCCCTCAAACAACATGTATATATATTCATTCTAACTTGCTCTCTCCTTGTGTGGTATTTTTATGAAAGATAGTAATAATGATAATAATAATGATAATAATAGTGATAATAATAATAATAATAATAATAATAATAATAATAATAATAATAATATTTCAAATTTTATTGTATTTAATTTTTTTGTTATTACTGTAACTTACATTTGCTTTATAATAATAATGATGGGAAAAAAAATAATAATAATGCTCAAATGTGGCTTAGCCGCTTCCCTCCCCTTCCATCTATCTTGGATGGCCAGATCTAACTTTGTTTTTTTGTTTGTTTTTTTAGCTAGTTTTTTTCTTATTTTTTCATGTTTCCCTTTTGTTTTTCTGTTGTCTGCTCTGGAATCTCCCTCTTTCCCCTATTTTCTTCTTCTAGTCATTGTTTTTGTACATGTTCGTTATTTTTATAGTAATAATAATTATTATTATTATTATTTTGTTTTGTTCTGTAGGGCTTCCCCTCTATTCCCATCATAATGTTATCTACATTTACGTGTTACATTCTCTATTGTTGTTTTATAATAATAATAATAATGATAATAATAATATTAATAATAATAATAATAAGTTTCATGTCTCTTACTCCTTTATTATTAGTGTGACTGATATTAGCTTTTTCCAGTAGTAGTTTCACTATTTCTGTATGACCTTCATGACAGGCGATACCAAGTGGTGCATCCTACAAAATAATAATTATAAAAACAATTAATAATTATGTCTCTTAGCTACTTTGTCATCATCAGCTATATTAACATCAGCTTTATGCTCCAGTAGTAGTTTCACTATTTCTGTATGACCTTCATGACAGGCGATACCAAGTGGTGCATCCTACAAAATAATAATTATAAAAAC